CTTCAAATGTTTATGACATAGCAAAGTCGTTGCTGAAAGATGTGTTTCATTATTGTTTTAAACGTATTTCAATTGCTTGTAAACAAAAGACTTTCCAAAAAGAGCTTTTGTTTTCAAAACATGTGTAGAAAACGAAAATATTAAAAGTGAATGTCAATGTAAACGCCGCCTTATGATTTGGGGAAAATCTGATTTTACCTAGGATCAGCACGGTAATGAGGTGTAGGATGATAAAAAGTCTCTAGAATGGGCAACTTTTCAACGAGTACCCTTTCGGGGTACTATCTCGTCCGATACCCATCTCAGCGACACCTCCTCCCCAGGATCCGAAGTAGTGAAGAGCTGCAGGATGAGTTTTTTGCCGAAAGTTTGTATTCAATAATTTGTTTATTTTAGTAGGCAATAAAGATCGTATATTTTTAAATTCTAATTTGAGTTTAGTTTATTTATTTTTCTCATGGCCTCTTAACAAGACCCATTGGAGACGGCTTCCTCGGGTTAGAGTATCCAAGGGCGCCCGAGCCACTGAACTACTAATTTCCGAAATTTTACAGTCAAGTGACGACGTAAAACCCTTTGGTAAATTTTATTAGTTTGCGCAAAAGTTTCAAACTATGCATCATGCATTATTTGTTCTTTTTTACTCTTTTGGTGTTCTTTTTACTCTCATTTCTTGTTTTTTTTTTGTGGAATTTGGGGACAGTCTAACCTTTTCTTGTCAGATAACACTTTAAGTATCGCCGTCCAGTTTCTTGCACATAGTGGTTTTTACTCACAGACCGCATCCAGTTTACTGGACGCAAATTTATATTTAATTCTGAAGGAACGGTTGTTTGTACAGTCTGGAGGATTGTTCCATGATTGTCTATCGGTTCAAAAGTATAGTTCAACATTTGAAGATTTCTGTAAAAAAAAAATATGTATTTTGCATAGATGGCAATAGACATGCTTCCAATACCCATCTGTAAAAGGCCAGATTTCTGTAAAAAAACGATAAAATGCGATAAAAATAAATACCATCTGTGCAGCATGGTGTGCCTTTACTTTCGGATATACTCGAAAATAATTACATAAGTAACAGAAAAACTTCGAAATTTATCAAAAAAGTCAACTTTACTGGACATCGCTTATAAAATATAAATTGTGTTACCACAAACCGCGTAAAAAAGCTGCGGTCCAGAACGAAAAACTAACAAACATGGTGCCGTACTTAAAGTGATAATTTTGTTTTCTGAAGCATGATATTTGTCTGCGAGGTATATAGCTGGCTAATGGATACACTTGGAGAATTCTAGGGATCGTTTCGAAGATAAACCGACTGAATTCGTGTTTTTGATAGTTCGAATTAATGCAGTGAAGGAAGCGTAAGCTATCAGGAAAAACGAAGGGAGAACAACCATACGATGTTTCTCGAGATAGTTGATGTTTTAAGGTGATAAATGAAATTAATTTTGTGTTTTTAAAATCATTTCAGTGCTACTTGTTTGAGGTCATATTAGTAATTACCCCTACAACTAAAGTTTGCGAAATTCTACAGTTTAATGCTTAGGTATCTGAAATCTTTTTGGACAAAAGCTTCAAATTATTACTTAATAGTATGTTACTGCCTCACATATTTTTTTGTTATGAAATTCCCTGTAATAAAAAACTTGGTAAGATAATTGAGCAGACGATTACATATTTCTTTATCATTTAGAAAGTTGCTCTCGAAATCCCTTTGAAATTAGATGGCAATCGAATTCCATTAGATTCTCAATACTTGCCTGTGGATTTTTTTACTAAATATTAGTAAAAATACTGAATATGTTGTTGAAGAAATCCATTATAGTTTACAATTTCATGTTCGTTTTATCAAGTGTGATTGGATGTAGAATCCATGAAATCAGCCAGATGTCTTACAAGTTTGATACCCAAACTAAAGTAAACGAAGTCTTTACCATAAAGCTAGAACATTCCCCTATAGGGCACATCAACATAGATCTACTAACTAATACAAAGTTGTGCAACGAAATGTTCAACATTACAGAAAGAGTCGACTCAATTTTCATCGACAGTTACAATGTTGAAGAAATAGAAACAGGACTACTTAGCAACGTTGACTTAACTAGATCGCTTGAAATCTATAGCGGTAAAATGAAAATAATTAAAAGACACACATTTAAGAATTTGAAAATTGTTTCGCTGTGGCTGACAAGTGGCTCACTTGAAATAATTGAAAACGAAGCTTTTATTGATCTCAGCGAGTTAACAAACTTGAATTTAACTAATAATTTTCTAAGGCGCTTTAATCCCACAAGTATTAAAAATGTACCTCAACTGCGGTCTTTGCGTTGTGATCATAATAAAATTACACATCTCCAAACAAATTCTTTTGGATTTTTGAGAAGAAATAAAACAGAATGCCGGTTTTCATCTAACAAAATTAAAAGGTTGGATAGAAATGTCTTCAACGGTGTGAGAGTAGAATATTTGAGTTTTTATCTTGAAGACAATTTGATAAACGACTTGCCTGTTGGAATATTTGACGGATATACCTTCGCTGTCATTGATTTACGATTTAATACATTAAAACAAGTGCCCGAAAAATTTTTTGAAGGCCATTTTAAAATTGAAAACTTTTTTTTAAGTCATAGTTATTTATATCAACATACGTTAATGAAATTTGTTTCGTGGTCGAACAAAAACAATATTACTTTAGCTCCTTGTTCTAACAGCAAGGCCACAGTAGTCGGTGTTAGTGCAATTATTTTTATTTTAAAAATCTTTGCTATGGCACTAATGGAGTAATGTTTCAACAATTTTGAAGAAAATACTTATGCTAGATCTGTACAAGTTCATATTAAGTCACTTGTCAGTGTTTTATAAATGGTCACAAGTAAGAGATTTTTGAAGTAGGATATAGAATATAAAACTTAAGAATTTTCACCACATAGTGAAGTCGTTGCTGCAAGATGTGTTTCGTTTTTATTTTAAGTGTGTTCCACTGGCTCGTAGTTCTCATTTTGTATTGAAAAATAAATATTTGTTAACTTCGATTCAACATTCTTTACAAATCCCCTTTCCAGAAAATATGTGAAAAAGCTTTTTGTTTTCAAAACATGTGTAAATAACTAAAGTATTAAGTATGAATCTTTGGGTGAACGTCGCTTATGAATTGAGAAATAACTAATTTTACATGGGAGAAGTTCTGCTAGTTCCGGCGGCGATGGTAAAAAGTTTTTCCGGTTTGGATAATTCTTAGACGAAACGAAAAATTACAGGAGTCATTTGTAAAATAAATCTATTGAATTCGTGATTTCGATAGTTGAGAGTAAATTTTAACGACACAGAATTTCTGTTTAGGACAATTGCCCATTGGTAATTATCCTAAACCTAAACTTTACGAAATTCTATAGCTTAGCGCCCAGATATTTGAAATATTTTGATAGAATTATTGCTTTTGACAAGAGTTTCAAATTATACATTAATAATATGTTACATCGTCACATATTTTTTTGTTATGAAATTCCCTGCAATAAAAAAAACTTCCTAAGATAATTGAGCAGACGATTACACATTTCTGTATCAAATAGAAAATTGCTCTAGAAACCCCTTTGGAATTAGATGGCAATCCAATTCCATTCGGTACTCAGTACTTGCCTGTCATTTTTTTTCCTATTAGTGAAAATACTGAATATGTCGCTGAAAAAGTCCATAATAGTTTATAATTTTATGTTCATTTTATTAAGTGTGGTTGGATGTGGAATCCATGAAATCAGCCCAATATCTTACATGATTGACAGACACACCAAAGTAAAGAAAGACGTTCCCATAAGGGTACAACCTACCGCTATAAAAATCAACGTAAATTTACTAAATAATACAAAATTGTGCAACGAAATGTTCAATATTACAGAAAGTGTCGACTCAATTGTGTTGTACAGTTACAATGTTGAAGAAATAGAAACAGAATTACTCATCAACGTTGACTTAACCGGATCGCTTGAAGTCCGTGATGGGAAAATTAAAATCATTAAAAGACACACATTTAAAAATTTGAAAATTGTTTCCCTATTGCTTTCAAATTGTTCGATTGAAATAATCGAAAATGAAGCTTTTGTTGATCTCAATGAGTTAACAGAGCTGCATTTATGGTACAATTTTCTAACGCGCTTTAATCCTGCAAGTTTTAAAAATCTACCTCAGCTAGAGTATTTGCAATGTGAACATAATAAAATTACAGATCTTGGAAAACATTCTTTTGGATTTTTGACAACAAATAACGCAGAATGCCGCTTTTCATTTAACAGAATTCGAAAAGTGGATAGAAAGGTCTTCAACGGGTTGACAGTGGAGTATTTGAGTATTTATCTCGACGACAATTTGATAAGTGACTTGCCTGCTGGAATTTTCGAAGGTCATACTTTCGCTGTTATTGATTTACGGTCTAATACATTAAAAAAAGTATCCGAAAAATTTTTTGAAGGCCATTTCAAAATTCAAGAAGTTCTTTTAAGTCTTAGTTATTTGTATCAAGATACGATGATGAAATTTGTGTCGTGGTCAGCTAAAAACAACATTACATTAACGTCATGTTCTAACAAAAAAGGCGCAGGTATCGGTTTTATGGCAATTATTTTTATTTCAAAAATCTGTACTATAGCACTACTTGAGTAATACAAATTCTGAAAAAAAGTGTATCAAGTGTAAACTAGATTACTTGAAATAAATGACCACAAATGAGAGATTTATAAATAAGGCACTCTTCAAAAAGTTTTTTAACATATTTAAAAGTATTTAACAATTAGTAAATCACGCCATTTACGATTAACACTGTAGTTACCATTATTAAAATAATGTAACCACTCTTTAGGTAGGAAACTCAGGTTTTTCATTACCACTGTAATGTTTTTCAATTGATTGAAGTAAAAACTGTAACAAAACCTTAGCACGTCGAAATAAATAACTAGCACTCAAGTAAATGTATTACTTAACAAAATTACAAAAACATGACTGGACGTTCAATACAGTGCTGCTCTTTTCAAAAATGTCCGCTGTTCTTTTGCCAAATCCAAGAGATCTTCCTCTTGTAAACTTTTAGCAACAGCGCCATTTTCTAAAAGAACCTCTACACACTGTATATAATCTTTCTTACATGCCCAGTCCAAAGGAGAGTTTCCACATTTGTCCACAATGTTAGCCTCACCACCTTCTTTTAATAGTAGCGAAAGTACTTCAAGATGGGCGTTCATCGCTGCTACTGCTAAAGAACTATCTCCAAAATTATCGATAACATTAACTTCGACATTCCATTTTATTAATATTTGAACGATTTCAGCGTCACCGATCATCGCAGCCCAATGCAAAACTGAACTATTACACTTGTCTAGAGTATCCAGTTTCACACTCTTTTCCAAAAGAAACTCAACTGTTAATCTATGTCTTTTTATTACAGCTCTATGCAGAATGGTGTGACCATGGTCATTGATTTTATTTAGGTCGTCTATTTGGTTTAGAAATTTTTTCACCAAGATGTAGTTTCCTGAGTCGATGGCTTCTTCAAACGGTGTTAGTTTTGATTTACCATTGACTTCATTAACGATATTCCCATAGTGTTGTAAAAATGACAACCTCTCTCTTGCTACTTCTGATAATTTGGATTCTTCAACCTCGAGTAGGGATACAGTATTCATTTTCTACAGCACACTGTACAGGTTTTCTACCAAAGTTGTCAACAGCGTCGACATTTGGAGTCTTGCCTAACAAGAGTTTGATAATTTCAACATTACCGTACATCGCAGCCCAATGTAAGGGCGTATATCCGAAATTATCTCTCACATCTACAGAGGCATCCCTTTTAGTAACAAAATTGTAATTCTACGATCACCATTGCTGATTGCTATACATAAAGGCATGACTTTATTATTATCAGGAATATCAACATCAGCTTCTTTATCAATAAATGTTTACACAATTCTGAAATGTTTTTCCGTAACTGCCCTATAAAGTGGAGTTCGCCCAAAATGGTCAACGTAATTGATAGTCCAACCATCTTGCAACAAAGGTTCTATTCTTTCAGCTTGTCCTGTATAAGCAGCCCAATGTAACTGATAAGAAGTATACTCATCATACTCAATCGCTGAAAGTCTCCTTGTTAATGTATTCGTAGTGGTCGCACCTTCTCTTAGTAGTAGTCTCGTTATATTGTGATGATTCTTGTCTTGAGCACAACTGAGCGGACTCTTACCAAAATTATCACACTTGTAAACTGAAGCACCGTGGTCAAGCAACAACTGAAGAATCAGAAGGTGTCCAAGGGTTGCTGCCAGTTGTAAAGACGTGCGTCCAAAATTATCAGCAAAATTTACGTCTGAACCATTTTTCAGAAGAAGCTGAGCTGGTTGATAGATGTCTTTACTGAAAGCTATGTGTAAATGAGCGTTTCCGTATCTATCCATGATATCAGGAAATGCACATCGATCCAGAACTAGTTTAACTACTTCGTTGTTACCATTTTTAACAGCAAAATGTAACAAACTTCTTTTGTTATACGTGCTTGCAATAGTGTTAGCTTTAGCACTTTTATCTAATAACACCTCGACATTGTCGTGACTGCCAGATTTGACAGCCAAGTAAAGCAAGCTTTCTCCATTATAGTTGTCCATTAAGAGTGCTTTTTCGAACGAAGGTATTTCAGAAGTAAGTTTGAACAATCATTATATCCGAATTTGAGAGAATAGTAGACCACTGTGAGAAAATCGTCTTTGCAGTTTTTAGGTTTTTCTAATACTGTTGCACGTGTCTGTGCAATTGCTTCAGATGTTTCTGTATAATGTAGAGATTCAGTAGGTACACAAAAAACACAATCGTACAGCGTTCACCCAAAGAGTTTGTCAGTTTTATAGGGATCAAGAACTATATTATTCAAAAAACCCGTCACCCTCTTGGTGTGTGTATCTTCTTTTACCAATTCCGGCCAGTTCTTTGTTATTGAATCTGAGAGCTGATCCTTTTTCAGCAATCTTCAGTTTTGGAAATTTCGTTCCGTAAAAACATGCCAAATGCAGAAAGGATCTTAGTAGCAGATCCAATTCGTTATGTTTCACATGAAACTTCCGTAGCAATTCGTAGTGATGATCTTTAAAAGTGTCTTTAGCCAATCCAATGGTTTGAACTTCTTCAAGAAATTATAAAATTAAAACAATCATTGTAATTTAAAGTTGAAATGTGTATGGATTGCTAAACCAGTTACAGTGTAAGGGAAAAAATTGGATACATCAATTCTTTGGTTTATTTTGTATTGTGTATTTAAAGGACGCCACTCCTGACGCTAAGATGATCCGTATTTGTTTTATCCCCATTTTTTTGATCTTTTCGTTTAGTATGTTTTTCAAATTTTGAACAGCTGTTAATTGACTGATTTTAATGTTTTTGACAACAGTTTGGAAGTAGTATACACTAAAAGCATGTTGCTACATTATGTATCATAATTTTTTATTAGAAATGTCTTCTAACATAAAACTTGGTGATATAATTGAGGAGACCACTGTATGTGTAATTTTTTACAAATCTCACTAGAATTGGTTGACAAAGGACTTCCATTTGAAACTTAATTTTTATCAAATAGCTTTGCTGCAGATAAGAAACGAAGAAAATACAAGGAATTATAACAATCAAAGAAAAATAGTTAAGCAAATATGTCGCAGAAAAAATGGATTTTTTAGAAAAGCAAATAAAACTATAGAGGAAGCATGCCAGAAGAAAGAGATAAGAAACTTTTATCAAGACATACAAAACGTAAAGTCAACAAAATACGAATCTACGCAATATACAAAAGATATAGGCAACTTAATAGGCGACCATGGAGGAAAATTAAGAAGATGGAAACAGTACTTCGAACAAATATTAAATAGCAAAATCAGAGGAGGTCAGAGGGAAGACCAAAAACAAGTACCAAAAAAAAAGAACTTTAAGTAAGTTTCTTTAAGCAATGCCAACATGAGAAGAGATAGAAGAGATCATAAACCAGATGAGGAATAACAAAAGCCCAGAGAGAAATGGAATTACAAAAGAAAACCTAAAATATAGAGGTGAAAATCTGTAAGACGACATCCACCTGATAATAAAGCAAATTTGGGAAACGGAAGAAATGCCGGATAGCTGGAAAGAAGCATTCATAACGCCGCTCTTTAAAAAAGGTGACAGAAGAAGCTGCGAAAACTACCATAGGATTGCGTTATTAGATGTTACGTACAAAGTACTGGCATCGATAATAAAAAGAAGACTTGAAGGAGAATATCAAGGAGGTTTTAGAAAAGGAAGAACGACAATCGATCCAATATTTATATTGAAACAAATCATGGTAGGAAACTACGAATATGAAATTCTTACTCATTTACTCTCGTGGACTTTAAAAGAGCTTACGAAACGGTGAACAGGACGAAGTTAATAAACATATTGAGAGAACTAGATATTCCCGAAAAACTAATAAATCTAATAAAAATTGGTCTAAAGAGTTTAGACAGTACTTCCCTCGCTGTCGGAAATTTGACGACTGCATGCCTATTGTGTTTTTTTTCTCATTACATTTTTGTAGTGGGAATTTAAAAAAAAATGCGATGACGTCATCAACATTTTTGCAAGGACACGTATATCAATTGGGATAGATGTAGTGTAATACTAAGAATAAAATTATTATATTCTCAAATTTTCGGGAAAATGAATTGGGTCGTTTTGAATATTGATTTGTAATAATCAATCAAATAACGAAACAATTTACTCACGTATACGTATCAGAGGCAACTGAAAATCGTGTATGTATAAACATTCTTAATTTAAGATGACAGGCGTAACAGTATACGTGAGAGTCAAACAGAGAAACTGTAAACAAAACGACCATCGGTTTTATTGCTTCGACTTCCGCTTATTATATAAAACATTGGGTTTTATTTTAATTCTTGACGGTGAAATTCACAATTGGTTGATTATAAACATGTCTATTTCACATTCGCGGAACCAAGTGAGCGCATAAAACAAATGCAGGTCTGTAATGTTAAAGTCGATGTAAATAAGCGTGCTACCCTTATGTTTCAACCGAATTTTTCCTTTAACAAATTTTGTGTCTACCAAATTGGGTTGGTTGGGGTGTAATACTAATAATAAGTGTTGTCTTTAATTTAATCAATAAAATAAATTGACGTCATCAATTTTTTTAGGAGGGATGAACAAATACATTTTGAACAAAAGTTTACCATGCTTATAATAACTTTAAAATATTCCCAAGATTTCAAAGCATTCGGTTTTGTAATTCCTGATTAAATCGATAAAATAAATTCACGCCTTCATTAATTTTTTTGAGTCACCCTGTATATGCAAATCCAAAAAATATAAATGGAGTGATAGATCACAAGTACAGACTCATCATATTTTGTACATTTTAGATATGATTTATTCCACAAACTTTTGAGCTGACGTCATCAAGTTTTTGGAGGGGATAAGCAAATATTTTTTGACTAAAGATTTATGATGCTCTTTATAGCCTTAAAACATCTGCAACATTTCAAAGCATTCTGGTTAGCAGATTAAAAATTAAATTTCAAAATGTTGTTTTATAATTTTGATTTTTTTTCCAAAAATCTGGACGTTTCGGGTGAAAAGTCGATTCAGATTTGTAAACTACATGTGTAGGACTATGTTATTTTATACAATTGAAAACCCATTTACTATGTACAATTTTGAAGTGACGTCATCGCATTAGTGGTGGGGATGATTAGGCAAATTTTGGTTAGCGTTTTACCATCTACATGATATTCTTAATATAAGTACAAAATTTCACAACAATCGGTCGAGTACTTTCGGAGATTATCTGTCTAATAAAAATCCGGGACGGCAGACGGACAGACGGACGGACAGACGGACGGACAGACGGACAGACGGACAGACGGACAGACGGACAGACAGACGGAAATGGGAGACCTATTTCTTCGTCTTCTAGGGGTCATGAAAGATCGAGAAAACGTAAAAGTAGAGAGTCGGCCGACGGACTCGATTACAATACTTCCTTTGCTTACGCTCGGGAAGTAAAAATGGCATTGAAAAACACAATAGGCAGAGTAAAAGTACAAGGAAAAACTAGCGACAGTTTCAATGTTAAACAAGAACTCAGAGAAGGTGATCCGGTCAACAACTCTATGCGATCTGATGCTAGAGAATATTATAAGGAAAGTGATATAAAGAGGAAGGGTCTACTATTCAATAGAAGCCATCAATGTCAAACCTACGCAGACGATTTAGTCCTACTAGCTAGGAATAGAAAGGAATTAGAAAAGATAACAGCAAAGCTAATGAGAGAAGCAGAAGAGATATGCTTAGAATTTAATATAGAAAAAACAAAATATGTGGAACTAAAGAATAATTGTGGGAGTAGAGACAAAAACAACGTACATATAGACAGACAAGAAGGATTAAAAGTAGATTTGAAGAAATAGAAATGCTTATGTACTAAGGGGTGTTGATAACCAACAAATGCCAAGAAGACAAAGAAATAGAACTGAGAATTGCTAAAAGTAACAACTGTGCAAGAGGATTAAGAAAAAATTAAAAATAAAGAAATATCAAGGAGAACAAAACTAAGAATATGTAAAACCTTCTCCAACTTTAACATACGCGTGCGAGACATGGATTATGACAAATGAAATGAAACAAAGACTGAAAATTTGGGAAAGGAAGATACTTAGAAGAATCTTTGGAGGGAAACAAACACAAGGAGGATGGGAAAGAAGAACTAATGAAAAAATATATGATTTATATAAAGACACAGTTGTAAGTAATTTCATAAAAATAAAAAGATTGCAATGAAAGAAAGAATGACCCAAGAAAGAGAAGTTAAAATGATGGCATGGAAAATTCCGGAGAGCAAAAGGAAAAGAGGCAGACCAAGGAAAAAGTGGAAAGGAGCGATAGAGGAAGACCTAGCAGAAAAACAAATACAGGACTGGAGGAAAAACGCTTTTGGTTTGCTACTCAAAATACTGAATATGTCATTGAAAAAATTCACAATAATTAATAAGAAGAGGTAAACATAATAATCTGTCACAGCAGAGTCCGTCAAATACTGCAGGAGCGTGTTATTTTCTAAAATTTAAGTAAAATTTATTATTGTAAATTTAGAAATGATGTCATCACATTTCGGTGCGAAGATTAATCAAGTTTTGATTAGCGTACCATATACATCATATTTATAACATACATATAAAATTTGACAACAATCCGTCGAGCAGTTTCGAAGATTACCTGCCTAACAAAAATCTACAGAGACGACAAACAAGGAAATGGGAGATCTATTTTTCCGTAGTCTATGGGTCATGAAACGTCGACAAAACATGAAAGAGCTATTCGCCGGATGGATTTTATTACATATTGTTATTGTTTTACATATTCTTAGTTTTGTTCTCCTTGATATTTCTTTATTTTTAATTTTTTCTTAATCCTCTTGCACAGTTGTTACTTTTAGCAATTCTCAGTTCTATTTCTTTGTCTTCTTGGCATGAAAGAGCTATTCGCCGGATGGATTTTATTACAATACAAAACAAGATGATGTCAAGCACTTTCAGGGAAAAAAATAAGATATAAAAAAACCCACTTGTTTTTAAAATACCTAATTGTT